CTGGCATTTGTTTTAAAATTTAGGATGGATGATTTGAGTTAATATTAATATACAATAATTCATCGTTTGGTTTTTTAAAAGGCTTATATGAATTTTCAACGAGGTTAAATGTGACATCAAGAAAGTTTACCATTTTTAAATTTATGTTTATTTCGATTTGAAAGCCAATATTAAAAAAAAAATTTATATTATCTTTTCTAATATTGGACCAAATTTTTTTACGCATTACTATTAAAACCATCGTCGCGATAAAGGCCTAAATCATTTATGTTGATTATTTTACTTAAAAATCTTAAATATATAGTCCAACAAATTCACAAATTTCTGCTCCATCATAACTGCCCATTGTTACATCAAAGCAGTCATGTATGTTTAGATTGTATCTAAAACTGGGCCCAGCCCAACCTTAAAGCTCACTTTTCTTTATTTTTCTATCTTTGTTTTTGCAAAAGACATACATTTGTTTACCTTTTTATTGGTTAAAAGTTTAATATATATTAAAAAAATATATAATAAAGTAAGATAATAAAAAATAATACAGTACAATCGCTCTAATTCGAATTTTATGGGAAAAATAAAAGTTCGAATTAGAAAGAATTTCTAAAAATAGAAAGACTTTTTTAAAAATATTCTCTTCAAAGTAACGAATAGAAATCAAACAAACAAGCAAATAGTAATTCTTGGGTCTAAAAGCAATATGTATTATGTATTTTTAACTTTTAAATTAAATCTTTAAATTTATACCTTAAAGATATAATTTCATGTCAAAGACACGATTTATATCTTTAAGAACTTTTGTCAAATTATATCCAAATTAGTTTGCTTTTTCTTAAATTAGTCTAGTCATCCTTCTGAAGCTTGAAAATTTTTGAAGCAAAACTCTATTGCAAAATATAATGCTTTTTATTTTACCAGCAAGCTACTAACTGGTACATCACCAGCTCTAATTCATTTGAACCATTTAAGTACAGCTTTGTTTACTAGGTAATGCGAATCAACTTTCACCTGTTTAGTCAAATTTCCTTGACAAAAAGCGTCAAAGATTTTATCCTTTTTTCTTTTTCCAGGTTGAAAGAGTGTTTGGTGGAATATAAAAAATTTTCTTAATTTTTTTTTCCTTTCTTCAATTCCATTAGAGTTTTTTATTTCCGCTTTAAATATGTTTTCTTTATGTCTCTTGATGCCATGATTTTTTTTTTTTTAAACAGAAGATAATTTACACTAATTGTTTTTCAAAAACTCACAACATTTGAAATTCGAAAAAAGATTTTGACGGTTTAATGAGCTTTTTACACGTCAGAAGTTAAAAAAGTTTGATTTACAGAGAGAATCTTACACACGGGTTTAAAAAATCCATTCGAATTGTGGAGGTTTTCGAATAATAGAGATTCGAATTATAGAAAGTTAAACATAAGAGTTTCATAAGTGCATTTCACGGTGACTGTATTTAATCGAATTATGGAGGTTTTCGAATTAAGGAGATTCAAATTAGAGAGATTGTACTGTATAATAAAGTAATATTTAATATAAATTTTTGGTTTTTACAAAAAAATTATTTAGATTTTATACAAAACTTAAAAAATCATTTTAATTGTATCATCCAGAAAGTACTGAAACTAATAAAGGAAGGAAATTTGCTTAGAGTACAACAGAGATCAAATGGAAACTATCGTTCACACAAAGCCATTCTTCATAATTGGAGATTGAGATGTCAAAGCGGTTTCTGATGCCGTGAGTAACAACAATGAAAAAAACGTGGTTGTCTCAAAGAAAAATTTAATGCAATTCATTCAATAAATCTTAACCCTAACGCAATTCCTAGCAATAAACTTTCACGTTAAAAACAACCACTGGACTCTCTTAATTGCCTTAACACTCTTGATAAAACAGAAGGTTTTGCGGATTCTCTTAATGGGGGCAATACTACGAAGCTTAATATGTTTCTGAGATATATGGTATGACGATCACCTGTTACTAATAAACTTGCAAGTATTCTTTTGAAATGATTTTTTTATCGTAAAGCGTTATTAAAGAATTATTATTATTTATTTTTTTCGTATAATGCGTTACGGAAGGTGACCATGCTAACATTACCAACAATAGTCCTATTTTATACTACTTGTATTATCGAAACTTTTGAAACGCATATTTTAATAAAACCTATAATCGATTCACTAAAAACTGTTATTTTTTTGTGAAAGTAATTAATTAAAAAATTGTATTTGATTAAAAAAATAGTAGTAAGTAATTAATTAAAAAATAACAAAGATAAAAACTTGATTAAAAAATAACAAATAACATTGACTTTGTCTCAAAAATACAGAGATTGTATGTAAGATGTGCTTTTGTAAGCTGTGTAATTTTGTTTATTTTTGTGTGATCCATATAATAATAGCGTTAGAGACATGATAATAATCAAGATTGGAGTTAACCATTGTTTGCTATTTGTAATTGAAAAAGGCTTCTGCTTTATATAACACACTTTTTACAGCAAATAACTTATATAATGCAATCATTAAAATTATTGACATCACTAAAACTATTCATTGAAATATGCAATCAAGCAACTGATTTGAAAATTACTTTACGAGTATTTTATTACTAATCAAAAGCATTTGATATAGTAGACCATTGTATCTTTTTAAATAAACTAAAACAATACGGAATAGTTGTTAAAAAGCTATTAACAGAATGAAATATATACATTATGTCTGAGCCAACTCCTCTTTTTAAATGGTATAAAGAATTTTTGTTATGCTTTATTAAAACTAAACTCATTTATATTATCTGATGTTTCAAATCAACTTTTTTTTCAGTGGTTATTAAGGTTCTCCAAGATGACCTTATGGTCATATCTCAGAGCACAGCAGATAAGTAATTAACAGGATGTTAATATTATGACGTTTAACGAAACAGTTTGTACCTACTTTCTTACCTATGTTTAAATATATAGCCAAAGCAAGAATCGAACATTGGACCTTATTGCTCTAGCCAGTTAACTACGGTTACTTCTTATCTAACTAATAATTTATATGCAAATAAGAACATTAAAACTAAATATTAATATGAAAATGCGTTTTTTCAACGTCATCTAAGAGTTTGTTAGTCATAAACTAATTATTTACTTAATAGAGTATAGCTCGTTAACAAGCTACACAATATTTCATTAGAAAAATGCAAGAAAAATCATTCTCTCAAGTTGCCTGAGCTTATTGTAAAAATAAAATTAAAAAAGTGTAAAGTTTTGACTTTAAAATATTTTTAAATATTTTACTGAAATAGTAATTTTTATCATTTAAATAGTTTAACAAAGAAGATTTAAGAAAAAGTTATTTTATAATCTACACATGATACTGGGGTAAGTTGGCCAAATGCAAATGGGGAACGTTGGCCCTCTGAGTCAACCTATAATAATCAAATTTTTTTATTATTATGAAATAGTTTGTTTACACTTCTGATTATAGTATTTTGTGTTTTGAAATGTTTTTAAAATAAAAAACAAATTTGCTTAACAAATAAGAGTTTAAGGTTTCTTTTAGAATTTAGATGGTTTTATTCCACAAAGTATGTGCTGTTCAAAACACTTCATATTTCAATTTCAACTATTTATTATTTTTTTTTATGGCAAATGGCAGCCGGTTGTGCTTAATGGCTGTTTTATATGAACTTCATCATATTAAATACTTGCGATCATATTAAATACTAGCAATGCTGGAAGTTAGTCAAAACAATTGAAGTTTAGACTTTTAAATAAGTTTATCATTTTCAATAACCTTATTAAAATTATTTATATTTTTTCTGGTCTGGAAATTTTATCTATTACTTTGGAATTACATCTTTAAGCTACTTTATTAGCTGCAAAGTTGAAGAATTTTCCGAGCTCAAGTTAAATATATAGAAAGTAATAGCACCATTCACGTTTGTTTTCTTTTATTTTAAGATTCCAAAAGAACATATAACTTATTTTTCACATGGCTTTGAGTGAACCATTTTTAAAGATTTTATACTATTTTATAAGTACACACAATATACTATTTATCTACCTCAAATTATATAGCTATATTAGATTTTAAAAATTTAATTATTATTGTTATTTATTATTTATTATTACCTTTATAATTTCTATTATTTTCTATTATTCTCTATCATTTTAATGTTTTGTGTTGTATTGTATTGTTCTATTGTATTATATCATTTAGTATTATTTTTTCTTTTTCTTATTTTGAACTGTTTGCTGTAGACTACATATCCTAAATAGATTATATATCTAGAGTAGATTATATACCATAAGTAGATTAAGATATCTTATATAGAGCATTTCTATAGCATATTAGATTTTAATTTACACTTTAATATCAAGTATAATATAAACATTCATTCATTTAATAACTTTAATATCTATCATATTATCTACAATATTATCTATAATAACTATTATAATCTATCATATAGTTAAATAAAAAAAATAAATCTCTGTCTTTCGTATTTTCCCATATTAAAATAATATTTGGGAACACTTATTAAAAAATTTATAAAAAATTGCTATATTATTTACTGTATTTATAATAAAATAAATATATTCAAAAGAGTAAACAATCAAATTATTGAGAACTTTATATATTCTAAATGCAATAAAATGACAAATTTTATAGTATTTAGAGTATATAAAGTTATCAACTTTGTATACTCTAAATGCTATAAAATTTATAGAATTTGCAGCATTTAGAGTATATAAAATTAATGTACTCTAAATGCTGTAAATTCTCCCTGTGACATTTAAATTCTCCCTGTGGCATTATAAATCTGTATCAAGTAACCACAAAACCATACAATGTGATTTTTGCAATAAATGGATCTATATAATATGTAACAAGATAACCAATCGATTCTCCAATTATCTTAGGTCAGAAATAGGCTATGGGTACATTAATATATGTTTGCAAAATACTTTACATACTTAAATCTTTCTGACAATGAATTTAAACTTACTATAAATAGCCAAATAAATTCTTACATATCTCACAAAATGCAACTCTTCCTAATCAGAAAAAACCTTTTAAAAATCTTGAAAAAACTTAAAATAAATTGTTAATACTGATACAACTAAATATCACCATGACGACGATCGGTTGAAACCTGAACGAAGTTAAATAAGGTTTTCTCAAAAAATACTTAATCAATTGCAATGATTTTTTTTATAATAATGCTTACATAATTAGTTTTTTTAAGTAGGTGAAGTTTTCTTTACTTCTCATTAGTTTTTGCAATGTCGAATAAAGAGTCAAAAATCTTATTTTTGAAATTTTACAAAGAAAATCCATCGCATTCATGTTCCATCATTTCAAAAGCATGTAAAGTTCCAAAATCAACTGTTGGAATTTTTATAAAACTTTATAAGGAATGCAAAACTATAAAAAGAAAATTGGAAAGTAGTGAAAAATCAAGATTTATTCTCGAAAAAAAGAAAAAGTCATCGAAACAATTCATCAAAATCCGACTTTGTCACAACAAGACTTGTTTAAATTAATTACGAAATTAATTAATTCAAAATAATATTTGTTACAAAATTTCATGCATTTTCGATGACGATGAAAAAAAGATCACTCTAAGCTTCAAAGTAATCAATATTATTATCAGTCGAATCGTTATAAAGCTTCTAACAAATTCAAATACATTCAAGTTGAAAAATTTGCTCCCAAATTCTTTTTATAACAAGCTACTTGTAGTCGTGGTTTTAAAAGCTCTTCTTTCAAATCAATTTTTGATATTAGATGTATATGTGACTGAATGCTTGAAAAAAACGGCTCCTCTGAGCAGCGCGTTCAGGACAGCCGTTATTACTGGGCAATTGTGAAGGTAATATTGAGCAAACGAGGCAAACGCGCAAATAGAGTTAAAAAATTCCACAATTTATGGATTGCTATAAAAAAAAATTGTGGAGATGAGTACTTTACAAAAAATTAAATTGTACGTCTTAAAGTTAAGGCCTTATTTATTTTTGTTGAAATAAAATCTAATTATGTAAGCATCATTAAAAAATCATTATGATTAAAAATCATTTTAAAAAATCATTAAGTTCGGGTTTTCATAAAAACCACTTAATCATTAATTAAATGGTTTTTGAGAAACCTCGTCCAAATTTCAACCGATCATAGTTGTGATATTAACTTATTCTATAAATTTTATTTATATAATATATCATCTTTGATCTTTTTAATATATAATATATCATCTTTGATCTTTCATATGATGACCTTACCCAGCAAACATGTCAGCATTGAATCAACGTTGAAAACCGGTCGCAAAAGATGTTGCGGAAACGTTGACAAAGTAATCGATTTTGCAAAGATATGTGACGTTGTTAAAGAGACGTTCATTAAACGTTGTAGCGTAACGTTGAAAAAACGTTACTAAAAGACGTTACAAAAATGTCTCAATTAAACGTTGAAAAAGCGTTACTTAAAAAGCGTTGCATAGGCGCCGCAGCTTAACGTTGAAAAAAAGTTACTTGAAAAGCGTTACTTTAACGTTGTTAAAGCAGTTGATTTTGCAAGGATTTGTAACGTTGGTAGTAAAACGTCGATTTAACGTGACTCAAAGACGTCGAGTAAAGGTTGAAATATAACGTTAAATTAACGCTCAAATGCGCTGGAGAAAATATCGCAAAATATTATTAAACGTGATTAAACTTGGTTATAATGTATATAGAATTTGCAAATAAAACAAAATTGTATGTTGAACTCTGCACTTGCAATATTTCCAAAGTCGATTTTTATACAAATAGTAATATACAATGAAAAACATAAAAAATATACAATTTATTTATATAAAATTTACAATTTATAGATAAAAATAAAAACATCTTTTTTGAGATTTATGTGTGTGAGTGAATTTACAGGAATTACGTGTGTAAGTAAAATTTGTATGTGAGTGGATTTACAGAATATCGTATCGATAAGCCAGGATATCATTGAGATACAGAATCTAAATCAAAAAATAAAACTTGTATCATTATCAATCTGAAAGCAAATGTTTAAAAAATGTTATTGAATTAGTATAATTATTATTAATTTTAAAAAATAAAAATAAATATATATATATAAATTATATATATATATATATATATATATATATATATATATATATATATATATATATATATATATATATATATAAATATAAATATATATATATATATATATATATATATATATATATATATATATATATATATATATATATATATATATTGTGATAGTCGTAATAGCATAAAATAAGTAATTGTTTTTAAAAATAACACAACGTTTTTTATTCTTGAAATGTTTTGTAGTAAATAACTGGGGTTGATATTTGACTGGGGCCGGGGCCGGGTTTGATAAAATATAGCCGGGGCCAGGGCCGGGTATGAGACCAGGCTGCATAAACATTTATACATCCTAAAGTATATTTTTTAAATTTAAATTCATGCTATATTTTGTATATATATGCATATATGAACAT